CTGTTCTTCTTACTGTGGATGCTTCCAAAAGTATGCGCATTCCAGTCCTGTAACTTGTCTGAAAGATTAGCGATCACATTGGGAAAAGGGGTGTTGGGGTCCCAGGCTGCTGAGATAAACTCTCGCAAACTGGCTTCTGTTAACCAAGCCGCCTCGAACCTGAAGGGCCGGTTGCTGCTGCTACCTCCAATGCGAGGGGAGATAGAGGTCAGAAGAGGGATGTGGTTGGAATGGATCCTAGGTAGATGTGTAACCGTGGAGTTTGGAAAGGTTTCATTCCACCACAAGTTTCAAAGACTCCTATCTAGCCTGCTGGCCTTAAAAGTGTGTTGTTGATCCCCCCTAGTCTAAGTGAATCTTGGTCCAAAGAACCCCAGGTCAATCAGCTCCGCCCGATTAATTCGTCATTGAAAATGCGACATCTCCTCATGGTAGAGGCCGTTGGAGAGGTGTATTTCTCTTCCAGGTTGCGTATGGCGTTGAAATCCCCTGAAAGGAGCCAAGGGAGGTCGATCCACTCACTTTGATGAATGAGATTATCCCACAACAACCGTTGCTCGCTTGATCGAGGTGACGCATACACCGCAGTTAAGACCCATGGTTGCTTGGAAGCTTCTTCAATCCGCAGAGAAATATGATGATCGCAGGCAGAGATGAGCTGTGTTGAGAACCTCTTGGCGTCCCAGAACACCCAAATACCTCCGCTTCTCCCATTCGCTTCCACTCGGATGGAGTTCGGATATCCCAGTTTATCACAGGCAGCATCCGCGGCCGTGGCGCTAATTTGAGGTTCAAGGAGAATGACAAAATCCGGGCGGTAGGTTTGGATAACTAGTTTCAGAGAACGGATAAAAGCTCTGTTGTAGGCACCTCCTACAGTCCAGGAAAAAATATTTAAATTAGAGCTAATAGACATCGACATGATAACAAGGAAAAGAAAGGAAAGGGAGGGAAAGAGCAGAGGGAGAAGTTTCATTGGTTGAGCGCGCCAGGGTTGACGGGTCTGGCATTTGCCGTTAGACCCTCCAGCTGTGACCTGGAGCTTCCTCCAACTGGCTTGTCCGGCGCCTACTTAGCGGCACTTGTCCATGCATTAATCTCTTGTAAGGTAAGAGTTGCGATTCTGGTTCTTGATTTGGATTTGCGATCCTTCTATGACAAACATGTGTCTACTTTTATAAATCCATATTAATTGTGGTCAACTTCTTAAAATAAAAAAATTATTTAAAATATTTATACTGACCGGAACTAGTATTTATATCGATGGTTGCAACCTAACCTAACCTTTGCCTAATGTTTACGGTCAAAGATTCTTTCCCCAATCTCAGGGTTGCAATTATTTGGTAGGACAACTTCCTTGCGGGCATTTGTTTGCATGAATATGATTGATTTTACGAACTCATTTGGTGGGAAAGACCTCGTGGTCCAAGGCTTGGATATTTAATTGGTTGAAGTTTTAAATGTATAGTAATAGTAATAATATAATTGGGTTTTTTATATTTTATATATGTTTCTTTTCTTTTATTATAATAAGATGAATACCTAACTTCATTTTCATTCGAAACTAATTGGGAACTCGAGTAAAGTATCAAATGAACTCTCACTAGTGTCGAGAATTTGAAGCAAGTTAAATTTTGGTAGTAGCTCAAATCCACTTTATTATGGATAAAGTAATTTGATAGTTTAATTTTTTAGACATATTTAAATTTAAGTTTTTGAGGTGTGAATCTAAATTTAGACCCATATCCAAAAGAAAATAGATACATGAGGTTTTTGTCTTTTGTTTTTGAAAGAAACAAAAAAGTGAAAACATCAATATTAAAGGTTAGAATTGGGTTGAAGGCGGTTAGTAGAATAGTCTATATTATCTTTTTGCAAGTACAATCATATCAAACCAAATAGACTCATTTTGGTATGACCCAAATGTGTTGATTCAAATTGGATAAAATCAAAAACCAAAACCATTAAAAGTGCATATGAGTTCATTTGAGTCCTACTCCTATCCATTACTATATGTAAAGCTGAAGTTTTGTTACAGTTGCATAAACATTTCAATTTTGATACCCAAAATTTAATTAAATTACTACTTAGTCACTATAATGTACATTTTATATTTTGATACCCCAAATTTAATTTTAATGTAAAATCATAGAACAATTATGTTTTGGTGTCTAAATTTTATGAAATTTTCGTACTTACAATTTTTTTTAATTTACATATTGGTCCAATTTTAGATTTCACTTGAATCCATGAATCCAATCCACCAATCATTTTGAACCAATCCCTGAATCCAATCCACCCTAACATAGAAGTATAAATTTAGTTTGTACCACACAAGATATTGTATTACTCAACTGTAGAAGAAGATTTGACCATTTTATATTTGCTCATTACGTGAAACATTAAATAAATGATAAAAGAGAGACGACTCTAAAATATTGCAAGAGCGAATTTATAAACTCATTTTGCACATTTATGGGGTACTAAACAAACTTCTACTATCTACATGTAACAAAATATGCAACATCTACATAAGCACGTGTTAATAAACTGCTACGGTGAAAAGGGTTGACTGTTGTATTGACGGCCAAATAAAAGAATTGGTCAAAACCTCTCCATCATATACTTCCTCTTCGTTTCATTTTTCACTCGTCTTCCATAACCTTAATTAGTAATACTATTTTTATGTATTTTGATCACAAGTATAAACGGGTCCATACACGACTCACCAACAGTCTAGAAAATGCAATCCACCATAGCATAAAAGTATAAATTTAGTTTGTACCATACAAGATGTTGTATCACTAGATGTAGAAAAAGATTCAACCATTTTATATTTGCTTATTACATGAAGCATTAAATAAATGGTACAAAAGAGACGACTCTAAAATATTGCAAGAGCAAATTTATAAACTCATTTTGTACATTTACAGGATACTAAACAAACTTGTACTATGTAACAAAATATGTGGCATCTACATAAGCTAGCGTCAATAAAAGAATTTGTCAAGACTTCTCCATCATATACTTCATCTTGGTTTCATTTTTCACCCGCCTTCTATAACCTTAATTAGTAATACTATTTTTATGTATTCTGATCACAAGTATGAATGAGTTTATACACGACTTACCAACATTCTAGAGAATTAATAACTGAACCATGAACCACTAACTTTTTCAACTCAATGTCGAGTTCAATTAAAAATAAATATATATGATTATTACTTATTAGAAAGTCGTCATTTTCCACTATGAGATTTGAAGGTGTGAAATTTTAAGCGAGTTCAAGTTTGTATTCCTTTTGCTTCTCTCAAGAGTTTTTCTTTTTCATCCGAGCTAGAATTGTCAACAATTTTTTTATATAAGGATGAATAAATTGCATTAAAGGGATAAAAACAAAGTCCAAGTCAAAGGAAACAAGAACAAACCAGCAACACAAGGTGTGCAAGCCAAAATGCCGACAATTATACATAGAATGTTTGGCTAGATATCTACACATATCAAATAAGTTTCCATTTTTCTATAAAATAGTAAATAATTATCATCTTAAATACATCACCATAAAAGGAATCAAGTCTCAACTATGCAAATTACAATTCAGTACCTAAACTTAATAGATCTTTAAATTTATAACCTAAAATTATTTTTTGGCATATAAGTTCTCAAATTATTGATGGAACATTACTTTTTAGTACCTAAATTTTTTGTGTATTACATTTTTCTACCTAAACTTTTGAAGTTCTACAAATAGGTCTAATTTTTGTATATGTAATTAAAACACCTTCGAATAAATGGGTATCCATACCCAACTCATACACATTTAGATTATGAAAGTGAATACTCATACCCTACCGAAACCCATCTACAAACTTCCAACCCCATATACGTTACTCATATCCTACACATAATCAACTTCCACCTAATATCAGTATGGATTATGAAAATTACATCAAATTATTCAATAAATTAATCTATTGTCATTCCTACCTCCAACTATTTACTTGGGTGATGCACTAGAATAGGGCAAATTACATCAAAGGTCACCTAGTTTACCAAAAAAATTCACATGTATCACCCGAAAATTTTACTTGGGTGATGCACTAGAATAGGGCAAATTACACGTTTGACAACTCAATTTAGATATTATTATATCTCAAGTAGTTACACTGCTGTAAGGAACCCAGTATCAGTCTACTTAACAGCCTACACTCAATTAACAGTATACATGATCTCAGCTAATAACAGTTACTAACATCTACTAACAGCAAACTTATCTAACTTTGGAAACCAACACTTCTACCATCAACAAACAGACCCACATTTCCTTCTCATGCTACCTCCATGAGACTAACTATTCGTCGCAATACTTCCTGAGCAGTCACTCCTGGCTCACCATTGCATTCTTTCTTCCACACCTCTCCCTCCAAAGCATACTGACAGCAACATTCCAAACCAGCCTGCCAATTTTAACCATAGGCTTTCACCCCCTAAAAACGAACTCATTGCCCACTGCAAATAGCTTTCAAAGTCATTACAGTGTTGGCAAGCTTGATGTATTATTGACATGCTGCTATTGAACACTTCACAGGAGAAGGAACACTAGAAGCATAAGTGCGATCGTGTCTCTGAACCAAGCCCACATTACAAACATAGGTCATCCACTGACTTTCCCCACTGCTGCAGTTTATCTTTTGGTAGAAAGTCTTATCTTTAGTCACAAGATAACACCAATAACTAAGAAGATTTTATTTTATTATATTTAAATTCTTTTGGGTCACATCTTATTGCTGCAATATGGGCATCCAAAATTGATTATAGAATTGACTTTAGGGCGCTGATATTCCACAAGAAGGGAGGAAAAAGAAGAAGAATTCAGCTCAATTATTAATCTGAAACATGTGGTTGCCATCGTACACATGAACAAAATATCAATGCTTTGCATCATTAAGCTTAAGTAGCAGACATTTGGTTCACTGGAAGGTGACCGAAACAAGGCGAAAATGGCAACCACTACTCTGGAGGAAGACGCTGTAATTCCTGCTGCTCCTTGTTATTGGCTCGCGGAGCTAAAGCATTTCGACGAAACGAAAGCTGGAGTCAAAGGGCTGGCCGATGCCGGAATCACTGAGCTCCCTCGCATCTTCCACACGCCGCCGCACCTTCTCGACTACAGGCAATCCACGACTTCTTCAGCCGATGATCCAAACTTCATTTTACCAATCATAGACCTGACAGGAGCCAACGATGACCCCGAAAGGCGAAAAAAGATTATCGAGCAAGTTAGGGATGCATGTGGGAAGTGGGGATTCTTCCAACTGGTGAATCATGGAATCCCGGAAGAGAGTGTACTGGAAGAGATGAAAGCAGGGGTTGGCAGGTTCTATGAGCAGGACGTTGAGCTGAAGAAGCCATTCTACCACCGCGACCTGTCCAGCAAAATTGTTTACAACAGCAACTTTGACTTGTATACCGCACCAGCTGCTAATTGGAGGGATAATATCATGTATCAAATGTCCCCTGACCCTCCCCTCCCTGAAGAACTGCCCTCCAGCTGCAGGTAATGAGATTGTTCTTTTCGATGGATCGTGATTGTTTGGCCACAAAGTTCAAACCCAAAATACGATGGACCGTGCTTGTTATAATATAAAATACCCACATCACCCTTTGCTGCAGGGAAATCCTGACTCCAGTGAAATGATGAAACTGGCGGATTTGCCGTTCCAATTGTTTGTCGGAAGCTCTGGGTTTGGGAAGAAATCATTTGAAAGAGCTGGATTGTGCAGCAGGATTGCACGTCGTGTGCCATTACTATCCAGCTTGTCCGCAGCCTGAACTGACCTTGGGTGCGACCAAGCATCAAGACGATAGCTTCATTACGGTGCTGCTACAAGACCATGTTGGAGGTCTTCAAGTTCTTCATCAGAATCAATGGGTTGATGTGCCACCTCTACCTGGAGCTCTGGTGGTTAACATTAGTGATTTGCTCCAGGCAAGTTTTCTTCCATCCTTAATGTTAATCCTTATTTTGCATTTATTTATACTCATGATTTCATTTTCATTTTCTTGGTTGCTGGGGTTTTTTGATACAGCTGATATCGAATGACAAGTTCGTAAGCGTGGAGCATAGGGTGATTAGTAAGAGCATTAGACCGAGAGTTTCTGTAGCATCCTTTTTCACCACTGGGTTTTCGTCGAATCCTTAGAAAGTACGGACCTATAAAAGAGTTGTTATCAGAAGACGATCCTCCGAAATACAGGGAAACTACAATTGCCGATTACGAATCTCATTTCATTGGGAAAGGCCTTGATGGAAAACCTGCATTGCAGCATTTTAAGCTCTGAAACTTGCCATCTTCAACAGTATACTGTATTTTGTTTGTCTGGTACCTTTCATGTAAGTCCTGGTCTTTGTGAAATTGTGATCAATTTCATATGCACCATACTAGATAGTGTAGAAGTACGGATATGATTTACTAAATAAAAGAGTCTCTGGATAAAGTTATGATGAACAAACAACACCACATTCTTCTAAATTTAAAACGTGCGCTAGCTACATCAGAGAAGCCAGCATTTCATTCCAGATATCAGGGACACCAGGGAGGCACCAGTGGCTGCAATCCGACGATATATCCTTCTGTAGTCGCTTCTTCTTGTTCTTCTCCTCTTGGGTTATTCTGTACACCGAAGGATGCCCGTCTCTCCGCAGAGCCGACATCGATGTGATGTCCTGCAAATACACTGGGAACCTCATCTTCTTCACCACCTCTTTCACCACCACCACCGGTTCTGGCACATGCCTGTGGCTCATGTACGGCAATGGCTTCTTCTGCTTGTAGCACTTCCACCCATTCTCCCTTTCCATTTTCACTATAGGGTTAGCATTTTGTTGGTTTGGTTATCATAGTATCGAGAGGCCGAATTGAAATTTTTACCTGTTGTGTCTAGGAGACATGGTCCGAAAAACGACTTTGGTTTTGCTCGGATCGAGATTGAGGTCGATCCATTTCGCCCATGTTGTCAAACCCTTTTGGTAAGCAACCATTGGGTTCATTTTTTGGTACATCGTCTTCCCTACCATGTAATAGTCCCACCTTGCAACAATCCATTTTCAAACAAGCACTCATTAGGATTTAACATACACTATAACCACAAAGTGATGCACATGTCTGCATAAATGCGTAACTTGTCTGTCTTACTGAATTACTTACGAGCTCCAAGCCTCGGAATGAGTCCACCAATGAGCAGAGTCGAAGACGAGGAAGTCGACATTTCTCCAGTATCTGGCATTCTCTTCAATCATGTCCAGATGCAGAATCCGCTTGTTGCCAGACCCTTTCTTCAGCTCCACCAGCAGGGGAGCCCAGCTGAACTCGATCGTTGCGTCGTAATCCTGTAATTGTTCCATGATTCTCAAATCGGCTTAGTTCAAAGGAAGTAGCCAAAGCATGAATTAAGGTACTATCATCCTAATTCCTACCATAGCATGGAAGGCCATGGAAGGGCCATCATAGGACACCAATTTACGGCCAGTCGGAATAACCCCTTGGACCAAACACACCAGAGATTCCCACTGATTCCTCATTATCGAATCACCCACCAACATTACTCTCTTCCTCCTCATTTTCCCTAGAAACTTCAGGGCATCAAACCTGCACATGTTGTACGAAAGTATGATACCGTATCAAGAACCAGTTCGTAACAACAACTCCTAAACCCAAGCAGTTACTTGTAAACAATCAAATAGAAAGTGCAGTGTGAATTTTGGGTGTACCTTGGAACAGAGCAGCCATGGGGCTTCCACCTCCACTTCTGGTAGTCGGAATCAGGGCGACCGTTTTTCTGGCAGGTGACGGCGGTGGTGAGGTAAGGGCAATTGGAGTCGTAAAGAGGATAGGATTGGTCATAAACCCATCTCCCAGAAGTAAAGTCACATGCCCTTTTAGTAGAAGCCGATGAGAAGAAGCCATGCCTGCTGGTCTGGACAATGTTCACGTCATCGGCCTCCTCGTTCTTGTTCATCCCGCTGCTGGCGCTCCATCCGTCTTCGATGCCGAACTCCGACGACGAGTTGGCGCCGGAGAGGGGAGAAAGAAGGATGGTAGTGGAGGTTATGATGAGGATGGTGAAGAAGAAAGGCAGGGGCTTGCTGGTTTCTGCTGCAGCCATGTTTTTGCTTGTGCACTGCACACCATAAATCGTTGGTTGGAGCTTGTATGGAGGACTTGGGAGTGGTGAAATAAATTTTGAGTGGGGAGTGGTGAGGGAGAGCAGTAAATATTTAATGAAATGGGTTTGTTGAGTGGGAGGTTTATGATTGTGTCTTTCCATGATCAAAGCTAAATTAGTAGAGCTTGATTCATGGAGAATGAGGCATACATTCTTGAAGCTTTCTTGTTTCTACTAAAGGTCTTTCACTCATTGTTCACAATGTCGTTCCTTTCACTAGTTACCTTTCATTATTGTACTTTGCCGGAGAGGAATTGATTCGTATAACAACAAAAACAGGTTGGGGGTAATTATGTTTTCCATTGTAGATAATCCAAGAAAGATGGCGTTAGATAATAGAAATTATAAAGCATTAAATAATTGTAGTTAAGAAAGAACCGAACTTTGTAATGAAATGACATGTTTGTTCACTAAATAAGTAACCTTATTGAAGGTCCGTGGAATAAACTGAATCGATATAGAGGAAATTAAAAAATAAAAAGATAAAAATGACTGGACTTCATCCAAACGTTCCTCCTAGCTATGAGCACTCTCTGTCTATCCATTGTTAAGACCGCGAATCATTAATCACATATATTTGACAAAGTGATATTTCAAATAAGAAAAATGTATGTTTTTTATTCACTTTTTTTTTATATATATGAGTGCAATTGAAACTATAAATCCGATGTCAAGTGCATCAAATCAAGGCAATCTTAGATATTTGGAATAGAAAGTATTTAAATCTATGATCTATAAAACCGGAACCATCATCCCTTTTCATTTTTTCTATATTGTTCCTTCATGATTGTAGAGATACATCTCGTATTACTATTTACAAAGAGGAATAACACACAATTTAAGCGGAAGGATTAAATGTAACTTTAAGATCTAACTAAGCCACCTAAATGTAAGACTTTATTAACTTTAAGATATAAATCATTTTGGAAAAATAAAAACCAAAACCAAGAAGGATTATTGGTATTATAAGTTGTTTAACCATATATTACACGAGATGGGTCGGGTGCACCACCTTGACTTTGCAACACACTAATGAAAAATACAAGTAATAGGACTGCAGTGCATGGAGGGTAAATTACTCAACTGAATTGCAGACCTCCTTTTCTTCAAATAGCATTTCCAACATTCAACTCAAGTCATCTTATCTTAACATTATAACATCTATACAATAATTAGTAGCATCTAATATCTTAGGAAACAAGTAATATATATTTCAAATTATGACAACACATTGTGAATCATTATAACACAAAATTAATTTTGGTATATATTTTTCGTTGGACCCGCCTTAACACAAAATTTGACCGAGTTACTGGCTACACAAATCTACTAATTAGCTGGTTGCAAATCAGTTTATATATAGCCGAGAGTACATGGAAAAAGGAAAGAGACAGAATCAAATGATATGATAGAACCCCTCCCCAATCCATTCTTCCAATTTGCTTTACCCTTTACCTAACAGTTGAAATCATGGATCTGAAAAATAAATGAAGGAGGAGGTGGTCAATAAGTAAAAGGGGGGTGGTTGCGCCGTGACTGGCGGGCGTTGTAGGCCACCATCCCTTGCCATCTAATCCAAGGACAACAGGTTTCCTTTTTTAGCTTCCAAACGTTAAAGAATGACAATAGAAAGCTTCCCCAGTAATGGTAACTACCATTACCCACTCTGTTGTTGTTGTTGTTGTTGTGGCATTTACACCTTCCTTTTGATGTTCTCAGGAAGAATGTAGTGGAAGCACCAAAACCAAACCATCAATGGCAAACAGCAGTAGCAGTACGATACCCTCCCGCTAGGGGCTCAAGTTATTCGACTTGTGGCTACTAGCAATTTGACTCGGATTATCAAAGTTACAAGGTTCTGAACCTACCAAGTACAATCTTGCCTGTAAATTCCAAAGATTGGTGCAATGACATTGGGGATGAAGAGCTCCATCCACCCTAAATTTCAAAGTTTAAGACCACAATCACCTGTAAAACAATTTGATAGTTGTATTCTCATCCAGTTTGTATTTGATCGATCCGTAAGTGCCCATCAACACCCTAGTGCCCAAGATAACAGTATTCAAATGGAAATTACTTCGTGTTTGCAGAAATAGCCTGCAAAAGTTGACAAGCTCGTCCAAGTTACATAGGGAAAAAGAGCTAGAAGGTAGGGGTGAAAGTTTGACCCTGAAAACCCACTGACCCGTCCCGACCCTTCCCGTCCCTGAGGGTCGGGACGGGTCAGTTTGTCTATAGGGTCAGTTTAGGGACGAGTCAGCTTGACCCTATAAGGGTCGGGACGGGTCCCCTGTGACCCTTACTCCCTTAGCAACAACAAATATCTCATAACACATTGGATCTCTTCGTAAAATTTTTAAAAGTTTAGGTACTAAATTGCAAAATAAAAAAAATTGGGTACCAAAATGTAATTTTACCATCAAAATTTAAGGACTTATTTGTAAAACAATAATTGTTAGGTACTAAATTGTAAGAAAAAATAATTTTGGGTACCAAAACGTAATTTAAAAAAAAGTAGTGTGTAAATTAGGGTCGACCCACTGACCCGACCCGTCTCATCCCGTCCCATCCCTTGAGGGTCAGATAGGGTCAAGAAGGAGACAGGGACGAGACGGGTCAATTATACATCTTGACCCTTTAGGGACGGGTCAGGGACGGGACAGGAACGGGTCAGGGCAATTTTCAAGCATTATTTGGTGTTCATCGGTTTCGAAACAACCATAATCTTCTGTCCATTCTAGTGATATGAAACTTGTAGAATCTCTTAATATTCATGCAGTGGAGACACGATGCATTAGAAGAGCAAATTTACTCAGACGGAGACTTGCCTGATGTATTAATGGCTTTGCATGTTCCTCCCATTCAGAAATCCACCTTGAGTCCCCTGCTTCTGATGCCCCATTTCTCAGCGAAGCCAATGTATTGCATTTGTCAGGAAATCCCTCAAACAACATCTATAAATATTTTAAAAGTCGTCAGGCTAGCAAGAAAATAATAAAATAACATCAATCGCCCCGTACATATAAGTTGAAAGTTCAAAAGTACATTTGCATTTTATTCGTTGATACTGAATTTCAAGGCATCACCCATCTCTATACATCCGCTCATGTTGCTTATGACAGTAGCATACAGAAAGAGGAGTTCATAGGAATTACAAGTTTCCATTGGATGTGATGTCCTTGATCTGTGTGTGGCTTGATATGGTGATTTAATCAATTCATAATTAACATGGTGACTCAAATGGATTCAAAGCTTTTGGTATGTTAGTCACAGTTAACTCGAAGAAAACGCTTACGTACCAGAAGTTGATCTGCTAGCTCAGAAGATGATGAAAAGAGGAGTCCATTTTTGCCAACTTCCACCAATTCGTGGATGCTGTGGTCCATAAGATAATCAAAAGAAGACAGACTTCACATATGAACAACTAGTGGATTCCTCAAGTAAAATCGGAAGAATGAAAGGTAACTGTAATTTACCAAGAGTAGGCAGCGGCACACACAGGCAGCCCACAACCAAACATATCTACAACCTGAAAGCCAGCAGAGAGTTTAGAAAGTAAATATGTGTTGAGTTGACACAAGCGCTCCTATGTTACACAAGGAGTGAAAATAGCGGAGGGAGATTATTGCAGGTTGAAAATAGTGGTTACAAGACATTTTACTTTGTTTGGGAGATTTGTAACAGTAACAGGATGGTGAAAAGTCAGGTTAGAAAATACTAGCAGAGCAGAGGTAGTTCTCAGCTGACTAACAATACGCAAGCATTGACCCTCTCCTTGCTCTTTATTCTTTTGTTAGAAAGGGGGAAAGTAATATATATTAAAGAAAACAGTAAGATAAACTTTAACCTCTAATTGTCAATCCAGAATATTAGCTTTACCTTCATTGGAAGATCCAATCCCGAAGATGAAGTGTGCAAGCACACACCAAGATCAGCAGAACCTGTGAATATAAAAAAATAAGGCTATTAAGAACTGAAGTATACATACAACCCCTAGGGTTGGTCTAATGGTAATGTAGGGATGATAACATCCACAGCACAGTCAGTTTAAACCTTAGCGCCATTATTTAAAGAAAAACGACTAAAGATTCAATACAAACAATTGAAAAAACAAAAAAAACGTCGAAACAGATCTTGTACCTAGAAGCAGAGGATAGTCCTCAGCTGACAACCACATTGTACGAAATGCAACATGCTTCAGCCGCAAGCGCTTTATCTTCTCTTCATACTGTTCCTTCTCCGGCCCTTTACCTTCATGTTTCAGTCATATATCCACATTTAAATGATGGGAAAAGGTTGAAGATTGAGAGCTATGCTGCTACACAAATTAAATAATCACTTAACCTGTAATAACAAACAGTAGCCTAGGGTACAAAGTCTTCTTTCCTTGAGCCATCTCTTTCCAAAGAACCTCTTCATCAAGACCATCATCTTCATTCAAGATTGCAGTAACTCGTCTATCATACATAACAGCAGCTTCCAACAGAATGCCAAAATCTTCATCAGGTGTCCTGTAATAACCCCTCTAAAATGAATATCTTCGAAGGATTTACATTTGAAAGTAAACATAAAAGTTCCCACTAGACAGAATATTGGATTATATTGAGCACAGCCACATGATCAACAAGTTCAAATGAGCTTAGCATAGTGATCTGCTTGGGCTTCTGCACATTACTTCAATCATATCCTTCCCTAACAAGTTAGGTAAGACATTCTGCATACATATTATCAGGAGTCTACAACTACTTACCAGCTTGTACTGCTAACAACAAGTGCCGGTCGATATGGTTTAAGAAAAACATGACCATCAGTCATCGTGGTAAATAGAGTTTCCTTTACACCTTGGTCTTCTAATGCTAAACTTTCTGCAAAAGAGGGGGCAAAAAAAAAAAAAAAAAAAAGATTAAAAGAAGGGTGAAATGTGTAGAGGCATAGAAGTGAACCTCATCGGAAATGGTAAGAAGTCTCTGATTACCAAAGCTAACACAATCTCGGATGCTAGGAAGCTGAGTGATACTTTTACCTAGCCTGCAAAACAACTGAAAATGATGCACTTCACCTATGAAGCAAGAGTTAAATTTGTCACACCAATAAATTTCTGGAAAGAAAAGTAATACCTTGTGTTTTTCTTCGATTGGAGTAGGATGAAAAAATTCTGGAGGCTTATCATATAGAACTGTGGCACTGTTGGCTCGCAAAACAAAACAGTAGCAAATGACTTACCAAACGATGATGAAAACGAGGATTCAGAAAAACTGTGGGAGTTTGAGCTGACCCTTACTTAATTCCCCAGTTCTGAGCTAATTCATGTTGCATTGCCTTTGTTACACACAGGGAACCATTAGCCATCTTACCAAAATGCTGTTCAAACCTAAATGAATGACATAAGTCAGTACAGGAATAAGTGTAAGAGCATCATTTAGCAATATGCCGAAAATGCCTAAAAGAAAAGCGACAAATTACCAATGATATACTGCAACAAATCGACTATTTCTTCCCACAGAGAGAGCCATCAAGGTGTATCCAAAGTTGTGCCAGTCAATTATGAATGAAGAATTCCGAAACCAGCTTGCCCATTTCACTGCCATCAAGGTTGGTACGGATGGTGGATTCTATTGAAAAAGTATTTGTGAGAATAGGATTGGTTTTAATTTTTACAACATGAAAGGACCGTCAACAGCAACAGACTAAAAGTTAACTTGGATTGTATGCACGGTTAGGAAAATTAACCCATCAGCAAAAGTAACGTATGTAACTCATATGTAATTGGACTGTAAGATCATACAGATATTGAGACAAACTTCAAGACATCTGTACTTGTATTAAGCTAGAAACAGAACTTCATGATAGAAGAGAAAAAAACCCTTACACTATCAACCTAAAGTGTAAACTCACCTGAACCAGGAAAACATCAGGTCTTACAATTTTGATGCAGAGATACCAAAGCAACATAAGAAACTGAATCAATGGCTTTAGTAGAAGAACCAAAGGTTTAAGGACCTTTGGCAGGCCCTGAAGAAGTATAGGTTTCTGCACGTCGAAAGCATAAATACAAAGCAAAGATACATCAGTTCTATTGCAAGAAATAGGAGGCATTGTGTATGTTGACTAATATATCCTGATCTAGCAAAAGTTTCCATTTGTACCATGTTGTGGACATGGATAGACTTGTGCTCCACTACTGCAGCATGTGGCACAGATCCTATCATTACAAAATAAGTTATGTGTTAATCATTTAAAGGGCTGAACAACAATATTGGCTAAGAGGTTTTACATGCATCTCACCAACTAGGAAAACTGAACATGGTTTTTCTAAGCTTCAAGCAACTAGAGCATTCATAAATACCCAAAAAAATGTTCAAGAGAATCAGAAGTTAACCAGGCTAAGGAAACACAATAAACTTAGCAATTAAAGAATATGTACTGGTGTTGGAACACTTGTACGCCTGTTGTAGAGGACAGAAATACCACAAACATTCATGGTTAAAGGAAGAGAGACATTTGAATGAATGATTCAGAGATACATAAACACGAAAAGAAACAAAGATACCAATTCTGATGGTTTAAGCTAATTCAGAAACAAAAATCTGATCACACTCAATGACCTTCACTCCCGCCAACCTGAAAGTCATCCCAGATCACTAAAGCCCTCAGTTTTCCTTTAATCAAGTCAATTCAAAGTATTTAAGTTGGGTTTGATACCAATTCTGTGGCAGAATACTTTGGGAGATAAAGAAAAACATGTTTCCCATCAGATCCAAAGAACATTTTTCTGGAACGTCCAAGGAAACTTGGTTTCATCTTTCATAAGCCACAACCTACACATGCTAAATAGAACCAACGAAATTTTCAGTCTTCTTCAAAGAAGGGTATAAGATACCTCCATATCCAACAATGTCAACTTCAAGATTTGCCTGCAACACCAATAAAGAACTTTTTCAGATAAAATAATCATGCAGCATTGGCAAAACCATTTGAATGATACGAGATCTGGATACCTGGTTAGCAAGAGAAAGGGCATGATATTGCATTCTAGGACTGCGGCCAATATCACCCAACACAACCACACAGGCTCGACCTCTCTTGTTGCTCATCTTACCTTTTCCCCCGATCTCTTTCTGAGCCTTAAACTATCTTCTCGTTCAAGATCGTTACTTAGTTCGTCTGAAAAAGAACAGTTCGATTGTTAAGAGCTAAACAACTAGGCATTTCTTCCGAGAATCGTAAACTGGAATGCATCAATCCGATAGTACATCACAGAAAGCAGGAATAAGTAAGGGAAAATTGCTGGCAACCAAGTCACTTCAAAGAATGACAATTTTAACCCATCAAAAGATATAGACAAACTGCAATGCAGTATTTCATTCAGTTCGAGTAAGCAGTGCCTAGCTGAGAGCCAGCAGTTAGCATCAATAGAACTGCACCTTCCATGGCGGAAGAGGATCGTATCAGAGAACTTTGAAACGAAAACCAAGCATTGATGTTGAAAGTTGAGAAGCATGTTTTGAAAGAAAGGCGGAAATGAATCAAACGTTGATTTCACAGACGGGTAGTCATCCAATTTATACGCAATTCTCACCAAAGGGCAAGCGACTACAAATATCGCCGGCGAGTATTAGAATTAGAAAAGAGCGCAATTTTTTTCATTGCCCGGCGGTAGCAGTTCTGATCAAGAACGGAAGAGAAATCGGAGTGAAATAGAGAAGAAATTACTGCGGTAGCGGAGCAGGCGGTGGTTGGAGTCCTAATCTCTGACTACGCCTGCGCCGTAGATCAAATGCAGCCGACGGTAAACAGAGAGCGCGGAGAGGAGACTAGCCAGCCAGACGTTAAAAAACACGACTCCGGCCGTCCCGGTGGAAAGTAACTGGGCCTAACTATAACTTCGGTAGTCAACCTTTGACTAGAAAAGCCCAAAATCAATCATCGACTAGGTTCGTGGGCTCATGGGCTCGCCTCTCCGCTTCCCTGCCGCCGGCGCCGCGTGTCTATTCGTCCAAAACCCCGCAAAAACCTCTCGCAACTCTCGCGTCTTTATTTGCGCCTCCTTTCCCACAGTCCCTCTTCTCAGCTGTGCTGCGCTGATTTTCTGCTGCAGAAGACGGGAGAAAAAAATGGCAGCAGCTTTTGAGAGCTTGGGCGACATGTACGATGTGGCGCTGAAGCCTCGTCTCCTCCACACGCTGATGACCGAAGATGTTCCCGACGAGAAGGGGCCGCTTGACTCGTCCAAGTTGTCGAGGGTCGTGTCAGTGATTAAAACGCACAAGCTCTTGTCTGAATGCTTCTCGGAAACAATGGAGGAGAAGCAAATTAAGCGGTGGAAGTCCGCCGTTGAGGACTGGCTCAATCGGTTGATTTCCCTCCTGGATAGTATAAACATGGTACCTATCTTTTGAGTCCCAAACTTCCATTTGCAGACTTTTCTGTTTGTGCATCGAATCTTTACTTAGTGGGTCTGCGGGTCTCTGGTTTCCAATTACTAAAGTTGGTTCATTTTCACCTTTTCCTTGGCGAGTGAAGTAATGAATGACTGCTTATTGTCATATTATTATCATTGTTTTCCACTTAGGATACCTTTTCTGTGTTGCTCCCTGAGTAAATGGTTGATTCTGTTTTAGCCAGATAAATGTTGGGCTGGGATATGTTTGCTGGGAGTAACAAGTCAAGAGTGCAGCCCTGAGCGTTTCTCGGCATCATACATGGCCTGGTTTGACAAACTTCTATCAACTATGCAGGTATTGTTTGTCTATATTCTCTTTAGCTGCAAAAGTTGCAAATTTGGCAGTTTCTTTCTGAGATGTTGGTCTTTCTTTGTTTACTGGCTTCTGTTGTTAAACTCATAAGTAATACATTTCCCATTATCCTATCAGTCATCTGGTGATTCTCAGTTTCTAATGGTGGCTTCTTGTGCGTCCATGTCGGATCTGATTACAAGGTTCTTTTCTTCTTCAGAACTATGTTCTTACTTTTCAGCAGCTCTCTTAATCTTGACGCTAGGATTCATCTGATTTAGGTTGGCTGGATTCCCAAAATTGAAGAAGGATGGGACCTCTTGTGCTGGGAAACTCATTCAACCACTTCTGAATATGTTGAAAGAAGATAGTACAGACACTGTGCAGGTCGGGACTTTCTAACGAATATTTAAGAACAACAATGAAATATCCCCTAAATTACTCGTTGTCTCTGTGGAAAATTATTATGCAGTCTAGAAATTGTTTAATATGATAATTGTTTCAGAATATTGTTCTGAAATTTCTTGAATAAAAAATTAGCATCCTTTATGTTCAGGCAGCTGACATAGTAATAGCAATAGATTCAGGAACATACATGTCGATTTATGGCTGGGTACCATTATGCGTGGTTGTGAGCTTTCTAAAGGGACAATTTATGCCCAATCTACTGCCTCGTGGATTTATGATCTGATTCTAGGTTCAGACGCATTACTGAGCACATTTCAGCTGGTAACTCTGTGCATGTTGGCTGTGGCTTACAGGAAAGGGCATTGCATCTGTTATGCACTATTATAACTTCATTTCCAGCTTCTCTTCCTCGCTATTATGATAGTGTAAGTCTCTGTAGCTTGTAAAAGCTTACATAGTTTTCAGTTATTTGCTGCAGTTATGAACTTATGATAATGGATTATAACTGTGCAGGTTGAAGCTGCAATTGCAACAAAAATATTGTCAGGAAATGTCAGTCTTAATTTGCAGAAGGTGCCCCTCATTGTTTTATAGTCTTCTTCTGGATCTTGGTCGATGTTTGTACCACCAAAATTTTGCATATCATTATGAAACTAACATCTTGCATGATACATATTCTGTTCAATGTTTGCATCCAGAAGCTTGCCTATTGCCTGGCATTACTTCCAAAATCCAAAGGAGATGAAGATAGTTGGTTGTCACTACTCCGAAGGATTCTTATGTTGTCAAATGGTTTCTTAACTGATGGCCTCCGTGGGTTTGAAGAGAGTATGTATTACTAACATGACGCTTTGCTCCTTCTGCTTGGATATTCCCTAAATATCTGTTTTTGTGTTGCAGAATCTAAACAGGATGAAGCTGTGAGATTGATGTTTCCACCAGGGAAGGAAACTCCAAAAACGATATGGGGTCATACATTGGTAGAAGAAGTCTCAGGCAAGGAAAAAAGGATGTCAAAGTTATCCCCTGTCTTGTTACTGATGTCCAGCTGTTCCACCATGCTTACCAGTTCATACCCTGTTCAGGTAGTGTTCATTTATAGAGGAGAGCTAAAATGACATCGATGCATCGTTCATGACATTATGGGACGCGAAAAAAGAAAAACATCGTATCTTATATCCTTTTCAATTTACAAGCAGGTCAATGTTCCAGTTCGGTCATTGTTAGCACTTGTGGAAAGGGTCTTGATGGTTCATGGCACATTGTCAGATTCTATGTCATCCTTTGTGATTGCAGCTGAACAAGAGTATGTGTGTTCAGAGCTCCCAGTTCTGCATTCATATGGCCTAGACCTCCTTTCTGCCTTAATAAAGGGCATGCGAAGGTAAATTACTATTTTTGGACACAGTCAAGTGGAAGTTACCCTCGCCCCGTTTGACTTAACTTTGATGTTGCTTACTTTTCCCTTAAACAGCTACCTTGTCCATATAGACTATCTTGAATCTTGATTTTGTTTACCGCCTCCCATCTGTTGAACTAATACAATTTATGTGTTTTTCTTTGATAGTCAACTACTGCCACATGCTGCATATATTGTCCGACTGGTGAAGGAGTATTTTAGAAGATGTCATCTGCCAGATTTAAGGAAAAAGGTGTATTCAATCTCACAGATGTTGCTCATATCCATGGGTGTAGGTACGTGAATCTCTAAAATTGCTTTTGTCAGTCTTTTGTGTGGTAAGTTTTTTTTCCAGAATGCAGCTTATCTGATGCAACTTGAGAAACTATACACTACTGAGCTCTACTGAGGCGTAGATGAGAGACATCAGAAGTGTCGTCTTGAAACATCTGAACATTATATGCAGTGTTAAGTTCTTTTTCAGGCTTGGTTTGATACTGGCCCTAAGACTTGTATTGCTTTTTAAGCACATTTATATTTTTAGATGTTCTTTTCTTATTGTGTCATTGAAGTTCAAATCTACCTTCGCAGGTCCTCCATGTAGTTGGTTGTACGTAACGACTCCAATTTTATGATCACACAAAATTAATTGAATTATGCTCATTAGTTGATAAGTCTATTCCAATGTTGCTGCCATGATGTTTCTATGGACTTTTTACTGTGATCTAATGGTGAAGTACCGAAATTCATACCGTAAAACAAAAAATAACTAAAGCAGGACTTGACAGAGTTACCCACTCGTTTTTGCTTATATAACTAAAACCCCAATATGCATATTGCATATGTATTCAACCTAACAATGACAATGTAAAACTGCATGTTTGACCATGGACAGGTATTGCAGACTATCTTGCACAAGAGGTTGTAAACAATGCCCTTGTTGATCTGCATTCTGTTGCTCATCACACAATTGGTGCTAGGTCAAATGCTTTTTCTGAGGCATCATTGCAGCCTTTCCAGAGGAAAAGAAAGCACAATGCTAATGGAGTGCTTGAGCAGCAGCAAAACACATCCGCATTGGAACTGACCTTACTTGATAATAAGTCAGCTGCAATGCCAGTGAAAATAGCTGCACTTGAGGCAATAGAAGCACTTCTTACCGTGGTACTATTCTTCTTCAGTATCATTTCAGCAGTCTGTTAATATTAGGTGGCCATGTAAATGAAATGTTAGTTCTAGTCTTCACTGCTAATGGTGGGTTAGAAGATAGTGTGACCTCAATCCAAGTCAAATGAGCTGCAACTATTTTCTTTGAAGCTCAACTTCAAGCCGCAGTATCTTTTTTCACTTTTCAAAGAACTCACAGACGGCACAGGTCTAGGATTTGCTTAGTACTTGATGTAGAGCTAGCTCTCAAACTAACAGCCTCATTTGTCTTGGCTTCTGCCATGCTGTATGTTGTTTAGTTCCCACTAGGCAGCAGCATAATAAACCAGTAAATACCCTTAATATGTGGAAATGTGCTCATTTATTAGGTTTCATTGGTACCAAAATGTGAAGCCTTTCAGACACTTTTTGTTTGTTTTTGTTGGCAGGGTGGTGCTCTTAGATCTAAGTCCTGGGGTTCAAGTATTGATAATCTCATAATGAACATAGCGAACAATTGCTGTATAGGTAGATGGGGGAACGAAAGGAGTTTCTTGTCAGATGAACACACTTCAGTGCATTCAGATTTTCAACTTGCAGCATTGAGGGCACTTTTGGCATCTCTCCTTTCCCAATCTAGCACTCGCCCCCCTCATTTAGCACAGAGTCTTCAGCTTTTCCGCCGAGGTAAACCTTCTCTTTGGCCATAACGCAATGCATCAGTTGAAATGATAGTAGAAAGTGTTTGTTTTAGCTTTTGTTGAACTTTTTCATAATAAGTTTTAGTAGAATGAAAGAAAAGTGTGTATCGGTGGATTTTAGGAAAAGCTGAGTTGATTGGATGAGGTATATTTTAAACAGGTGACAATTTCGAATGTGAAATATTATTAGAGAGTTGACGTTTAGATTTGAATAATTTGTTTGAATTAAGGGTAAATAGTCGTTTTAAGAAAGTTCGATTGAAGAAGTGTGTTTGTTTCAACACAAGCCAACTTTCCCCTTTTAATTTACTTATTTCTAAGCCGAAACAAACACGCCCGAAAGATTATTAGCTGACAAATTGCCTTATGGGTGTTTTCTTATCTCTGTCATTGGTATGATTCTCCAGGAAGACAAGAGACAGGAACAAATATCTCTTACTTCTGTGCCCATGCACTCTTAGCCTTGGAAGTGCTCGTACATCCTCGCGCATTGCCATTGATAGATTCTCATTTGAAGAACTCCCATGATGAGGTGGAGGAAAACACCATGTACAGAATTGATGACATACTACACCAGAGGTGGATAGACGGAACCAAGGAAACCGAGGGCTCACCAGACTACGTGGAAAGACAAACCAACATGGAAGAAACCCCTTGTGAAACACTCTCCACAGTTCATCAATCAGGCGAGAAAACTTCTGTGGGCAATGCAGAGGCTGAGATGAGGCCAGGCAATGATGAGATGATGGTGGATGTAAGACAGCCTAATAATGAAATAGCTCCAGGAGATAGAACTTCTGTGGGCAATGCAGAGGCCAAGAAGAGGTCAGGAAATGATGCAATGATGGCGGTTTTAGGAAAGCCAAACAATGAAACAGCACAGCTCCAGGACTTTGCTTCTATTGGTTCTGCTGAGGATGATGATTCTGTTGCCCCGGGGGACAAAAGTACCGAGCTTGATTACAACAGAGATGTAGCATTGGCGTCTCCAAAGAGGGCGGCTGCTATTGGTGTTGATGTTGAATCAGATAATGAGTCGATAGATTCAATGCCAGATATTAAAGATGTTGATCCCGATTCTGATTAGCATTGGTTAATGGAGTGGGTTTAGGCTTTAGAGATGAACCTCAGGAGTTGAAAGGCTCGTTGTTTTCCTGTTTCTGTAGCCTGATGAGAGGTGGATTGTGTTGTTGCAAGGATGGTACTAGACTTGATGTGCAGAAACATCATCGTAACATAAAAATTTGACGTCAAACTTTGAAGAATTCAAAATTGCTTACTCTCAATCTCCATGCGTCAAATGGAAAAAGTCCCAGAGGAGGTTTACCTGCCAGGGTCCCAAGTCATAATTGACTACTTTATGGAGTGAAGGTTAAGTTAGCATATCGAGATTAGTATGTGGGTTAAGTTCAAATAGAACACATGAACTCCACATATCATCACAAGGGCAGGATGCTTAATATGTTTGATAGAATTACAATGTGAGATTACCAGAATCCTTAACATTCTTATTAGCTTAGGACAATGATGTATTTACTAAGCGATAGATGGTATTATCAAGAACAGATACATACTTTAAAAAACTGACATAAATTACAAATGGAAATCAGAACCTACTATATCAATAGGGAAAGCTTTTTTAGCCACACGAATGACTACTTTCTTTTCTGAATGACCAACAATTCAGACACCAAAGTACAGCTAACAACATGTAAAGCTATAGAGCTTTTTTCAAGAATCGACGGCGACGAAAATCACCTCTTACACCTGTCAAGAACCAGTTGATTCCAATAACTCGAGTTGTTTGTTGTTGGGAGAGTTTTAATAATGGATCTTATATCTCTTATTAACACCCCCCCCCCCCAAACGAAAGTCAGCCAACTCACAAATGGGGTGATAAGGGCTTTCGTTTGCACATGTCCTGAACACGAGAATACTTGTGCTTCACTAATGCGGTCACCGGGATTCAAACACAAGACCTCCCGGCCACAACAGGCTCTGATATCATGTGAAGAATCAGATGGTCCCAATAACTCGAGTTGTTGGAAGAAGTTCAATAATAAATCTTATACCACTCACTAACAACACATTCGCCAACTTTATTAATGACCACCTTCGCTTCTCTAATTTTGGGCCTCGTAGATGAAGGTACCCATAGCGAAATCCTTGTAGTCCTTGAGCGGCTCCAAAGTCCTGACCACGTAGCTCATCTTGGGCCTATGACGGGGTCGGAGACTGAGGCACCGGTAGGCCAATGTCGCCGCCTTCCTCGCCCCAGTTTCCGAGTACTGACCATCGAGCCTCGGGTCCATGATCCTGCTCATTCTCCTCGGGCTGCTCAATATGGGCCTAGCCCACGCCACCAGGTTCTGCTCTCTCTGCGGCCGAGCCTTGTCCACAGATCTCCTCCCCGTTAGCAGTTCTAGCAACACCACCCCGAAACTGTACACGTCACTCCTCGACGTCAGGTGGCCCGTCATGATGTACTCCGGCGCAGCGTAGCCAGGAGTGCCCATGACTCTGGTCGAGACATGGCTTTCGGGTCCTTCCGGCCCGTCTTTCGCCAACCCAAAATCGGATAGTTTCGCAGTATAATCGGAGTCCAAGAGTATGTTGGAAGCTTTGAAATCCCGGTAGATCACCGGCTTCTGGGAATCGTGAAGAAATTGGAGTCCCTTGGCAGCTCCCAGCGCTATCTTCATCCTCGTTGACCACTGAAGCGACGCCCCATGACCTTTCGAAATATAAAATTAAGGGTAAACATAATTTGTTAACCAAACCTATCAAACTTTACAAATTATTAACGAAACCTTTCGAAATATAATATATTAGCCAAATCTTTTGTAATTCTTCAAATATTAGCCATTTTCTGTTAATATCATGATATGACAGTGATATGATGCGCAATTATTATTACCATAGTGGTAAGATCATTATATGACAGATATGATAGTGATATCACTACAACCAATTTTCTTCTTCCCCCAAACATAGCAAAATGGATATTATTTTGTAGATCTTAATAGTGCGTCATTTCTATGCAAAAAATAATAAAGAGTTAAAATGAAAGAGATATGACACGATTAAGATAAACGAGCTATTATAAAAAATGGTATTTGACTAGTAAAAAAACTTTCCTCTCTCATCTGAGATCCATGCTATCAGCCAAATGAAAAACAAGGAAGGTAACATTACCAGTCCGCCCATCTTGACACCCTTCCTTATCCATGTGCATTTTTTGCCATTAGATGAAAAAAACAGACAAATTGCATTTGTATAGTCAAAATTTTGGTGTTTGTGACAATAATAGCCATTGTTTTTAAAATACACAAAATAGACAGAATTTTGAAAATTTCAGGACAAATATAGCTATTTGCATTACAAATTTTAATGATGTTAGAAACTCTTTCAGTTAGGTTAACGTTAGGCTGACTCGAATACCAAATCAACGCACACATCAACGACAACTTAGTAGTTGCTGACACGTAGATGTCACGTGTTATTTTAATTAAAAATTCAAACGAATAATTTTAATTTTAATTTTTCTATACCTTCTCCGCCTACCTCTCCTTCCCGGCCAATGGCTTCTCCTTCCCGGCCTCTCCCCTCGAAACGAAGATGGCAATTGCAACCCTTGTCACTATTTAAAATAATTGAGCAGGGACGGAGCCAAGATTCTTGGTTAGGAGGGGCGAGATTTTTTTTCCAACATACTTATAGTGATAAGAAAATATATGAGAAATTTTTAAACACATACAAAGAGCTCACAAATTTTTTAATACATAACCCACTTGAAATTGTTTCAAAATCACAAAAATAATAATTTATCTCTTCTAAACTCATGATAAACCATGTGTTTCATACATAATATATTTACCAATTATAGATACAAAAGCGATTTTTTTTAAGAAATACGAAACAACTTGTAAACAAATTGGAAAAAAATACAAATTTTTTTAATATAAACTAAAATAAACTTTGATGAAAGAGGTCGAGTTCAAACTATTATCTCTCTGTCACATTTTATAACAACTCTTATATCTCTATCACATATAATATTAGTTGTGTCTCATAAAAACAAAATACTACATACATTAATTTGTCTCATAACAATCGAACACTGAATACATCTTATTACGTTTCCGGATATTTTGAGAATTTAGAAGAGGGAGCACTAAATAGAGCCAAAAGCTAGATTGTGATGAAGCTTGATTGTCATGACTGATGAGTGGGGTGGAAAAGAGCTGCTGATTAACCAATAACTAAAACAAGCTTAAATTAAAAAGCGAAAGTTTAAACCCCTGTTCTCCAAGCCAAGTCCTCAATTAGGTGACTATTATTGCCACTACGACACCAACAATTATTGTATCAATTACTTACACTTTTAGATATTTAGCACCAAGCTGTCTCCGTCCCTGGGCTGATGCATAAACACACCCAACTTGCCATTTACCACTTTCCCCAAACATAGCCTAACTCTCTCAAATGGTAAAGGAAACCGTACCGGAGGTCGTACCAGATCCGTCAGCGGTAGGGTATTTAGTGGTACAACCGTGGTTCAATCGTTCTGTACCGGCAAAATACCGTTTTTGTAAATAAAAAAATATTTTTTTGTTAAAAAATCGTATCGGCGGATTCAAGATACCGTATCGGAGTAATACCGGAATAAAAACGCAATATACCGGATAACAAATCTGAATAAACTAAATAGGCATATGTAATATAAGAATATAACAATCAACAAATGGGCCCATTCCTAAGCCCTAACCAAGTGGGCCATTTTGAAATCTCCACCTACTAACCCTACGTCCCCAATAGAAACCCACTCCCAAGATAGTTGCGGAGCAGTGAATCTGCTTCCTCTTCTCTCAATCTCATATACCCAGAATCCTCCCAAAATAAAGAGCCCTCCAACCATTATCCTACATTCCTACTAATTCCCCCTTCCCCTAGACACTCCACCTTCCCCGTCGTCTCCACCAAGCCCTCCGCCACCTGCGCCACCAAAGCCACCAAAGAATCCAACGACTACATCCTTAACATCGCAGAGATTGAACCTAAATTTCGAATCCTCAGACAGAGTGTCGTCGGGAGGAGAGAAATCAAACGTCTTCAGCGCTTTCTCCCGGTACAGATTACAGATCCGCCGGTACCGAGGATCTCTCAACACTTGCTACGTTTCAGAGATCTGCTTGAATTTCACCTCCGTCTCTTTCTTTTTCTCCAGATTCTTGTCTAAATCTGTGTTCCACGGGAGATCGCGATCCCAAATTCTGAAAGCGCGCTCTCTCAAAAAGCAGTTCGCGAATTTTTCACGAACTCCCCAAAAATCGCGTTTTAGCGATCTAGAGCGGGATCGTGGAGGGTGAATAGGCAAATTAGGTTACATAAGTTTTGAGCTTCGGCAGTTTTTTTTATATATTTTGTATGCCTAAAACGACGTTGTTCCCATCCCATAAACCCAACCCCGGTTAGACCAAAACCGGGCGATTTTTTCGTATTGTGCCGGTTTAACCAGAAAAACCGGCCGGTATGATTTTCTGGCCACTAATAGTCTACTGTGCCGCCCAGGGTCCAATTTCCGGTTTTACCGGTTCACCCGACCGGTACGATCCGGTTTCCTTTAAGAGCAGTGTTTTTTTAACCAATGATTATTAAAAAATAAACTCTCTCAAGCAGTATATGTTATTATTATATAACAAAAAAATTAAAGGGGAAGGGGGGGGGGGGGGGCACAGTAATTACGTGTGAAGAGATGATTCTCGAGGCTGCCACATGGCATGTACTGGTAGACCAAGAGCCGATGCTCCTCTTCGCGGCAGTAGCCAATCAGCTTCACGAGATGCGGGTGACTCAGCTGACCCAGAAATATAATCTCGGTCTGTACATGTCAATACCCGTAGCAATATAATTATATACCAAAACCGGTTGCTGTTAATCAAAGCCATTTTTATTTATTCATATTTTTACATAATTTCTAATACAATCCTCTTCTGTATTACCATGGAAATAAACGAAAGTGCAACATAATAATTTAAAAAAAGCAGCCTTTTGTATTATTATAATTGTAGAAGGTATTGTTTGAGTTTATTACAATCATTCAAAAATATTAATCCAATGTGTAACATGCTATTCACTTTTTTGTAACTGAGAAATAAATATTCCATAATATTTAATATAAATTAAATTTAAATATCCAAATTAGCTCTTACAAATGAGAATATGTAACTTGAAGAGTTTATTTTGTAAGGAAGTTGTTAATCATCATGGGCATGGCGTCTTCCAACAATTCGAATTATAGGGACTAGGTGGTTTATTATATGGTATTAGAGCAGGTTCGTTTTTGAGGTCACGTGTTAAAATACTCCTGACTACCAATATTAACCGTTGTCTTATAGCACATGGTATGAATGGTCAAGGCCATGAGCTTTGAAGTAAGCAAATTAATAATGATCATCTAAAAACAAAAACTTTAATTTTAAGACCATAATAAGGATACGTACCAACCACTCACGGTGGCCCTGGAGGCCGTCGAGATCGAGGAGCTTGACGGCAACCGGCTGGGCCTTCAAGACGCCTGGCCGGAGCTTGTCGTCGACGAAGCCCTTGTGGAATGTGGACCGGGCCGAAACCGCCTTCGCCGAGGAAGTTGCTGTCGGAGAAGCCCCGCGTGATGAACCGAAGCTCGGCAAGGGGTGAAGACGTGGAGGCCGCATGACCCAGCTGGCAACGAGTCCGGGTTGCTAAGATCCGAAATCCTAACCCGGCCTCGGAATGAGCTCAGCTTCGCCACCTGTTTCTTCACGTTTAGGACCGACGAAGCTGATGATAACGACGGCTGTGGCTGCTTCTTTTTGCTCTCGTTCTGATGACGTGCCGTACGGTCTCCGAATAAGCAGCAGAAGAGGAAGGAAACACGCCCAGTTTTGTCCGTCGCCATTTTGAAAACGTAAGTCGCGTACGTATATATGGTTTGGTAATGAGTTATGGTCTCGAGGGTGGGTCGTTTATATATAAGAGGGAGCTATTTATGTGAAAGATGTGATGGTTAGTATAAAAAAAATGACTATTTCTCTAACTATGTGGTATAATTTATAGCATTCATTATCCAAACTCTCCCAACAATTTAACTTATTAGAACCAACTGCCACCAACTTCTTAAGTTATTTCTATGAGTATAATGTAAGTATGTGGTATATAAAAAAAATACTATTTCCAGCCTGTATGAGTGATTTTATTTGAGGGGGCGTGTTAGTATATGTGGTATAAAATCCAGTATCGAACCTCTCTCAACAACTCGAATTATTAAAACCAACTGGTTCTTGACATATAATACCCTATCTTCATTTGTTTTACATATATAATTAGTTTTTCAATACTTATCATATTTTCTTTTATTTTTGTTTGGATTTCGAATTTGTAATATTTCTAAGGAAAATTAAATTAATTATGATCCACAAGATAACTTTAACCCATGTCCGTCGAGAATGATTTATACGTCAAATAACAAAATTTTATATACCTCTACTAGAATAGTTTCATATAGTTAGTACAATAGCCTCCATGGTGAAATTTGCCAAGTTACCTCCATTAGTTACTATCTGGTCGGAAAGCTGAATGGAAGAATTTTCGATGATACGCAGAATACTTTCTCATATTATATACCGTATTAGTTTCCGTACGGGATATCAGTTACAAAACTGTGACAAGATTTCCACGAATATGAGGTCGCAGTTATAAATCAATTGATCCTGTAACTTGAGTTATTAATTAAGAAGTATTCATATATGAATGTTACCCGCTTCCATATATAGATAACTCGGGCAAGAGTTCATCATCAAACGTTTATTAGTTGCATAGTAATATTTTGTTCGTATGGTACCATTTCATTTTCGTCCTCTGCTTATGGGATACGTCCCTATCGGTCGGTGTTGTGATGTAAAGAGAGTCTAAACTAACACTCTCATTTTTTTATATCTTTGTCAATTAAAATAAAGAAGCGAATAACAAACAGGCTGTATTATTAGACATCCAGAGAGAGCCGACGTACGGTTACGGGCTGAGAAATAGGGTGACAATTTTGACTTGATTAGTTTTACTCGATATGTTTTGAGGCAGTATTATCTGACCGATAGGTGGGGCAAGAAGAGTATGGGTAGTGTCCTCAATTTGAGTTGTTCTGACCCGTTCTATTTTTACCGGTCCTTGTTTAAATCACATGTAATTTTACTCAAATTATTTAGAATTTTAATTTTATTACCTAATATTTTAGCTATAATAAAGTTATAAATATGTGAGAACCCTCAATTTCAAGAATAATTTAACTACATCATCCATGTTATGGTTAGTTTCTTGAGTATTTTAATAAATAAAAAAATATTTTCAAAGTTTTATATTTAAATTACATACCCATATGAGTCAATCTATTCCCAACCCATGCCCTGTAAAAATTATTCGACCTATCATGAGACTAGTATTGATATCAAAATAACCCTGCCAGCATACCCCATTGCTATTCCTAGACATACAGAGGGGGAGAGCTGGTGGTTACTGGTATATGAAAACCTTGCAATAAGATTTTTTTCCCCAACTTTATGCTTTGTTTTTTGTTGTTGCTTTTTTAGGGTTTAGAATCTATTATTAATGCAAACGGTCAACAGTTTATATGTCCTTAGAATCAGGAGGCCGGGAACCCTTGCCCTGGCCCCTGAGAGAGAAAAAAAGGCAACCAAAGTCCCTTTCTCTTTTCTGTTTTCTCGTTTTCGATTCTCAGATTATTTATATTCTATGTACTCTGCCGAAACCTTTGTTCCTTCCGTACGTACGTTATCGTCTAATACAAATATCAAATGCTAGTGTTTCAAAATTATTTAATTGTGTTTTGTTAAACTTTTGTCGTTATATAGCCCTTTTCTATGTACAAAGTTGTATACTTGCATTGTTGTCTGCAAATTATAAATTCTTTAGGGAATTTTTCTTCTACTAGGCGCATAGCTACAGACAGAAGTGATAAATTGACGGGTGGATTCACGAATTCGAATTTCGTCGAAATAATCTTAGATCATTATGAAAATTTTGAAAGGTTTATGTAGTAAAATGTCATCGTAAAAACATTTTTTACCAAAATGTAAGTTTTGAATAATATTTTCATTAACAAATTGATGTAGGTACCAAATTATAAAATATAAAAATTATATTTAATTAATTTTAATTTTTCCAGCAATCCTTGAATTAACTAGTTTATTTGAATTTTGATTAAATAAATTGGATTAGTTTGATATTTTAATAGATTGATTAGATTAAATTGATGGATCATATTATTTTATATGAATTTTTCTTATTGATGAAAACGAAATCATGAAAATTTAAAAGATGCTTAAGTAAGGAGGAAATAAGCATGCCTACTGTTGGGGGGGTGTTCGGAAGTGATATAGCTTGCGGTCTGTGAAGAAGCCTAATATGAGGGAGGCGAGTCCTAAAGAAGCCCAAGAAGAAACGAGGCCCGCCTAAAGAAGCCCAAAGGCATGCGAAAAGAGGTCAGATGGGTAAAGTCGGGAGCCTGGCCTTTCATGATCGAAGAGATGCGTTAATTGGGACGCCTGAAGAAATGGCGGCATGGACCGATGCTAATTAGGCGCCTGGCGCATGTCCCGCGGTTGAGAGCATCAAACCAGGCGCCTAGGGCGAGCGAAGCATTAAAAGAGGTGATGACGTGGAAGCCCGTACGGTAAGGCCAAGATGAGCGATGAACAGTTATAAATAGGATGGTTGGTAAGCATTTACTCAGTTTGGCTTCTCTCACTAAACTTTGGGGAAAACTACTTCTCTCTCTAAGAAAAGGGGCTAACTTGAGCGTTGGAGGATTAACGGGCCACAAGGCCCACCTCTGTGTGAGCTGGCAGTTCCGCGAAGGCAAGGAGTACGGTGTGTGGAGGAAGTTATCAGATCGAAGAGGCTTCAACACCTACTTATTTGGAGGATCATTACCGGTTCAGATAGCAGTTAGTTATTTTAAGTTAGTGTTTAATCACTAAATGACTTGATTTGCAGCCCTACATACAAGTTGTAGACAAAAACATATCATATATCAAAGTGGATATTATATTTTAAATCATAATTAAAATCTTTTTTTGTGCAAAGTACTTGAAAATTAGAGTTAAAATGAAACATGTATGATCAGTTAAAAATAATTGGAATTACTTATAACAAAAATTAAGAGATAAATCTCTACTGTTAAATTAAGCTAGTTTGCACCATAATATAAATGAATAATTATAAAAAGTATGAGATAAATCTCTAGTATTAAATTAATCTAGTTTGCACCATAATATAAATGTAAAATTTTAACTCGTACTATAATTTTTTTACAATGATATAGTATAAATTGTACCATGTTAAAGATACAAATTGAGTTGGTAGATTAAAATGTTTATGTGAACCAAAACATTGATACTAAAGTATTTTTAATATTATAAATTCATCCGAGAATAAGATGACTCCAAATCATGAATTTAAAAGATTTTGTAGAGAACTCCTTTTTTATACTTATCCGTTTCCTGTAATTAATCAATCAATTATCCTCTTTTGTCTTTATATAGGCTGCTAGTTTGCGGGTGACTTTCCAGTTCCCAGTGGATTCAGACAGGTGAGCTAACAATTTGTCTTTTACTGGTTGTTGGGATAACTAGAATTGAGTATGCACTTTATTCATTATTTTTAATTTAATTTCTTTTCTAATTGGTCATCAACGGTTAACACCTAGGGGTGGTGTCACGACCCGAAATGTCGTGGCCGTGTTGATCGTCTGAAGAACGCTGCCATCTGGTTGTCTTGTCATGAGAAGGGTAAAGGGGGCGACATTAGCGATAAGGCGTTGTCTGCCTGTGCATCGCATCTAGCCGAGTCAGGATGTGGCTATGAAGGGGATCGTTGCAAGAGAAGGCACAACTGGTCGGAGGCTATTGCCGTCTCCCTGATGAGCCCAAGGCAGGGCGAAACCAGTTGGCATGCGTATGCAGAGAGGCTGGTCTTGAGGAATGAGTGCACCTCAAGACGCCGCACGGACTTCGGAAGTCTATGTCCGTGACAAATGGTATCAGAGCCTGGTTAGGCTGAAGAGCCTAGTTCCTCTCTCAGTACGACATAGGTCGTGTATGGGCCGACCCTATGCCTGAATGAGAGGCGGTCCTAGGTGAGCATATCAGGCGGTCCGGACGCAGATACACATGTGTTGCGCCGTTGTGGGGGACCTCGACAGGCTGAAGATGCGGCGGCCGAGAATGCCGTTCAACCGAGGAACTAACGCTAGCAAGAGCGTAGGGTGAAGGTCGATTGAGGTACAAACGCTGGGAGTAGCGTAGGGTGAAGGTCGACTGAGGTACTAGCGCAGCAGAAGCAAAGAGTGAAGGTTGATGTCGAGGGGCAAAGCGGTATGTGCGTGGGGCACAGCAGGCTAGCGCGAGAGACGCGACCGGAGCCTGTCCGTCAGAGGATGGTATCGTATGCGGACGCCCACAATCGGTTCGAGAGTTGCAATACATGCTGCGGAGAGAAGCATTCTTCACCAGCACGAGGACGTGCTGCATTATGAGTGGTGGAGAATGTCACGACCCGAAATGTCGTGGCCGTGTTGATCGTCTGAAGAACGCTGCCATCTGGTTGTCTTGCCATGAGAAGGGTAAAGGGGGCGACATTAGCGATAAGGCGTTGTCTGCCTGTGCATCGCATCTAGCCGAGTTAGGATGTGGCTATGAAGGGGATCGTTGCAAGAGAAGGCACAACTGGTCGGAGGCTATTGCCGTCTCCCTGATGAGCCCAAGGCAGGGCGAAACCAGTTGGCATGCGTATGCAGAGAGGCTGGTCTTGAGGAATGAGTGCACCTCAAGACGCCGCACGGACTTCGGAAGTCTATGTCCGTGACAAATGTCACGACCCGAAATGTCGTGGCCGTGTTGATCGTCTGAA